ATTATCAAATTTATATTTAACATTATTTTTCTTTTAACTTAAAGAAAATTCTTATTTAATTATAAATTAATATCGGATAAATCTCTGAATAATGTTAGAATAATGTCTGAGAAATAGCTGAGGAATGTACGTATTTATTATTACATAACACATTTCACATGATAAATTATTTTTATTGCTTTTCACTTGTAATATATTATTTTTTTAACAATAAATAAGAAAACAAAAAAAGAAATTTCCTGAGTTGGGATACAATAATATAAAGAAATTAAAAGGATGTCATTTCATGAGTTATAAATAATAAAAATAATTTTAGTTTTGTAAAATAATGAAGATATGTAATTACATAAGAATATATAGTTTTTATAATGGAAATAATATTGCAAAATAAGCAAAAGAACCATCTTTTTTTATTTATATGAAAGTGGAATTCAGAATTTTAAAACATTGGCAAGAATGTTTGTTTTACAAATTTCTTTTTCTGTTATTACATTATATTATTTTAAAATTGCAAGCTTAATTAATTTAATTAATGATGATCTTACATCATTTTGATTTGATCATTTTAATTCAAACTAAAAATTTGGATACAGAAACTTGTAAAAATAAATTGATGATGTTGATTTAACATCAAATTAATATTGCTACCATGATCTGATATCATGGTAAAGAACTGAAGACTAAGTATTGATGCTGTAACTGCAGACTAAATATTGAGCTTAACTGCTAAGCATTTAGGCTAATATGAATTACTGTTTTATATATTTACTTTATTTTGAAGATAATTCATATCATGAGATATCTTTAGATTTTAAAAATAGTGGTTATAATAATACAAAAACAACAAAATGTTGACATTTCACAAAGTTTTTTATCTTTTTAATAATAACGAAAGAATGCAATTATATGAGAATATCTAGTCTTTGTATAATGAAAATAATAATGCAAAAGAAGCAAAAGAACAAAAGGATAACTCTGTATTATATATTAATCAGTTTTTATAATAATTTTATTGTATTATTAAAAGTTTTCTAATAAAAATAAAAGATATAAATATATATTCTTTTATGCTTACGAATCTTTCGTTTTTCACAATATATCATCAATAAAATCACAAATATAATTTTTTCATTTAAAATCCTTGTCTCCTACATCTTTTATTTTTCAATTTTTTTCTTGTCATTTTATCTGTTATTTCAATTGCTTTTAATTTATTTTTCTTTTTTAATCGCCTTTAAATTCATTTTTTTTTTTTTTTATCTTTCGATTTTTTTACTTTCATTTTTTCATTTTTTTTTGATATTTTTATTTCATCTCTTTCACTTATTCTTTTTTTTATTGTTCGATTTTTTTTACTTATTTTATTCAATTGTTTTTTATTTTATTTTTTTATTTTTTTTATTTCATCTCTTTTGTTTTTTTCTTTTTTTTACCTATTTTATTCAATTGCTTTTTATTTATTTTTTTTGGTTTTTTTCGATATTTTTATTTCACCTCTTTCGTTTTTTCTTTTTTTTTTTGTTTGATTTTTTTTACTTATTTTATTCAATCACTTTTTATTACATTTGTAATGCTGATAAAGTTTTTAAGGTGTGACAAAAGTCTTATTACAGCAAATAGATTTATGATTTTTTTATCTTTTCTAACTATGATATTATAATAAGTCTAACCTCTAATATATATGTAAACTTTTGCTCAAATTAACTTTTTTCTATTTTTTTGAAATTATGAGAAATTGGGCTAAAAAGCATCAGCTTTGCATGGAATCAGAATGTGATAAGCCTACTAGGTTATTTTGTTATCATTGTAATTATCATACTAGGGACTATTATATGATTCAATATGTTAATGGACTTTGGGATAAAGCCCTGATATTTGATATATATTCAAGAGGTTAGACTTTTAGTAAAAGTTAGATTTATTATATAGTTAGTCGAGAGGTTAGACTTTTTTTGTAGTTAGATTTAATATATAGGTAATCAAAATGTATAAATTTTTTGTTCTAGGATTGTATAAATAAAATAGCTTTAGAATGGTTTCCTGTATATTGATAAATTATTAATATGCTAAAATATAATCATTAAGCTTTTGATTTGTAAACTAGATAACAAATAAATATAACCTCTTTGAGGTTAGACTTAGTATATGATATATATTTTAGGCTTACACGATCAGGCCTAGCTCAAATCACATTACTTTGTTTCTTGATTTTCGATAATCTCTCCTGAGGTAAACAGAATAGTAAAAAATTTTAATATATTATTTGGGATTAAAATCAGTCAGACTAGAATGACTATATCAAACAGTGTAATTCTTATTATCAGACAGATTAATTCCTAGTTAAATTCGATATCATTATCTAAATTTGAGTCAAATTACGCTAGAGGGTTAAATTTGATAATTAATTCATATAGCTAAAAATTGATTCGTAGGTGGACAGGAATCTTTCTGAGTACTATTTGGAATTTTGTTCTAAAAATCCCATTTTTGTTATAGTCATATTTAGTTCCAGTTAGTTATTTGGTAAAAATATATGTAAAAAAATAAGTCAAAGATTTTTTTTTATAAACTAATAAAAGATTACTTTGTATATATATATATATATATTTTTAAAAAAATAAACTACAACACATAGTTTAAGTTTTAAAAAAAAATTTATTATTATATTATTTTTAATATTTAATAATATTATATTTCTTTAAAGTATCGTTAATAAAAAAATTTTTTATTCTCTGTAATAATCTGATTTTTAGATGACGTTAAGTTTTACTATCCATCATAATTCTAAAAAATTAAAATCATTTAAATTTGTGAGAAAATCACTTTATAATAAGTCACATAAATTTTACAGATCAAAGTATATCAATTAAACTTCTTTACCTCAGATGATATTATAATTTTTTTATTATTGGAGGTCAGCAATGCAAAATGTAATAAACGAAGATTTTAAGCAGGATAAATTCGCAGTTTATTTGTAAACAAAGGAATTCATTTTTTGGTATTTAAGTAGGTGAAGTAATGCAATAAATTAATATCAGAATCATTGGTAAAATATTTCGTGTTCGTCTGATATGATATCACTGTGGAATTAATACTGATAGAAATCAGGTTCACATTTATGATCATTTTTAGAATTGGTCTAGATTCAACATTGTAATCTGCTATGGTTATTATTGTAGTAGTAGTAGTGATCATTGCGTTACTTCACGATAACGTTTGTCAACCTCTTCTAGGACTTCTAGTGATAGAAATCAAATATCAAGTAGTGCTTTCGTTACTCTGATTAGGACTAGTCTTGGACCATGGCATTTTAAATAATCTATTGTTAGTGCAATTTTGATTCAAGATTATCAGGATCAATAAAATATCGTCAAGCTCTATAATATATTTTTCCAGAAATGATTCTTTACCTGAAGAAGCGTTACAAATCTGTTGAATATAATTTATAGTACTAATTGAAAGAGCAGTTATCAATCTCGTGTTTTGGTTAATCATATTCATCTTGTTTGTGAGGTAGGTATTATTTGAGTAATGACAAACTTTTACTTAAAAGCAATGGAGTTCTCTTTCTTCAAACTGCTCTTCTATGTAGAAATATAAAGCAGACTTACCATCAATATTTCTCACCACTTGCATCATTTTTCCCATCATAACTTTCATGTAAGTTGCATTCACTTATTGAAATATAAGTATTTTTAACAATTAAAATTTTTTCAAATATCAAGATTATATAAACGATCACAAAAATAAAAATTTCATTATCGTGTACTAATTAGGACATCTGATAAATTTCCTTTCAGATAAACAGTATCGCTCACTTCATAATCATCTATTTTATGATTGATTGTTTCGTTTATCTGGACGAAAGCCTTTATCTGTAAATAGGTCACCTTAGTAAGGTCTATTTCAGACATTTTTATGACACTGATACCTTCTTTGATCACAAAATCTTATATGACCCTCTCTTCAGAGTCGTAATATATATAACAAAATGTTTCAAGTTTTGAAGGCATTTTTTTCAAGTTCAAATCGAGAAAGTAAAAGGTAAGTGAAAATTTTTTTTAAAAAAAGAATTTTTTAGGTGGGTTAAAATATAAGTTTTATTTTTTCAAAAATTATTTTTTAATCGTAATAATCTTTTTAAATTTTTTTTTTCATAATATATATTACAATATCTAATTGTTGATTGAGCCAAAGAATCAAATCAAGAAGAAACAATCGCAAAAAAAATTATTTATTGTTAACTTTGCGATTGTCTCGTTGATTAATTAATTGTCTTATTAATTAATTGCATCGAGCTTGCCTAAATAAAAATCTAATCACATTTACTGCAGTATAAATAAAGAAAAAAAAATGAAGAAAAATTTATTATTTAAAGGACCTGGATTCGTTAAGTGAGCATTACTCAATTAGTTAATCATCATGAACCATTAGATAATCTAACTACTTATTCTGAAGACTAAGGAAAGTAATATCAGAAGGATATTTTTTCCTAACACAGAGCAGTAGATTAGATCATAAGAGAGTATTTGTTGCAAGTGTTTTGATGATCCATGTTCGACCAAATTTCATTACCAACCGTTACTTTTAATTACTATCAGCGATAACTATTTTATTGTCTTATGCTTTTTCCAATTAGGAATAAAACACCCTCAGAAATCTTTGCTACAATAATTATTCTATATTTATTTAATTATGTCAATTATGCATAAAAAAGGTTTTAAAAATTTTTTAACTTTAGTAGTTTTATTTCTTTATGTATTACATTTTAAAGTGAGAATTCATTTATTTTTGCTATGCATGCTCGGCCCTTTTACGGTATAGCACAACAATTGGAGAGTACAATAACTCTAAAAAGGGAAGGATAAAAGACAAATAAATTGATTGGTCAGTTATTGACCAGAGAAATATAAATATTTTTAATATTTAATTTAACGAATTAGTTTATAAACTAGTTCAAAAATATAAGTGTTAATAACACACTGGGATTAAATAAATGGTCAAATAGGAATTTGCTTTTTGTTGAATTGGTAATGATAATTTTTTGAATTTTCCACAGTTTGTTTTAAATATTGGAGATCTTCATTAGTAACCTTATCATATTCGATGACATCTAGACCAGCAGAAACGTCCAACAATCTATCCTCATAGGTCTTCAAAAAATTATTCATTTTTTCTAAATTAACGGCAGTATCATGTAAATGATGCAAAATATTATCAACCATTACGAATTCTTTCTTGGCTATATCGACACCATCCGAATGCGCAGAATTACGATCACAAATATACTTTTCTGCTTCCTTTAGTCCGCCATAAATATAGCTTTTTGTATCATGTCGCACCGCTTCTGCTCTTGAAACAGAATTTTGGGCTAGTTCAACCAGTTGCCTATAATCTTTGATTTTCTTTCGTAATACAAACAATCTATCTTTAAAATATTGAGTATCGTCGTCGACTTGCCGGATGTAGTTTGAATCCAATCGATGCATCATCGATTCAAGTTCTTCATCAAACGATTTATATATTGATGAACCCTTGTTATGCATATTTTGTAATGTTCGACTTGCTATTAATATAATTTCTCCAAAATCACGAAGCCCCTTTGCCATCTTCTTGCCATGACATCTGAATGCTGGACTTTTTTCGATCAAAATTGCTACCCTACGACATGTTACAGTATGTTCTGTAATTTCGTTCGTATCTATATCATAAGGTGAAATTAAGTTAATTATACATGAAATGAAACCTCTTTTTTTATCATATGAATAATTATTTACCTGGAATATCAAGAATATTAATTTCTTTAAGAAAATTATTGGTAGTATCAGCAAATTTTCGGATAAAAGTGGAAGGGGTTTTTTGTATAGGATGTTCCTTTTTCTTATTTTTTTAAAAAAAAATCAGTAAGACTTATACTGAACAAGTAAAAAAAACAATAAATAATACTTACAATTAATAAAAAATTATAATTAAAAACAATGCACCGATTAACCAATTTTTCACATTACTTGAAACGTTAGGCTTGATCTCAGGAAATTTATCGATTATAGGATTAAGATCATTATTAGATGAATCAATTGATCCTTGATGGTGTTGATGGTTATCTTGATTTTTCCTTTCTCGAATTTCTTGTTTTTGGTTACTCTAAGAAAAAGAATGTGAATTTATGATGCGCCAAAGTACAAATTCTTTTAAATAATGTTAACATACGTTAGAGCTGGAGGTTGCCTTATATGGAAAAAAATTTCATAAGATGTTAGTATAACGTACGTTTAACATAAAATAAAATATGAAATTACGAACATTAATATCTTGAATTGCTGTCATTTTACAATTAAAAAATTTATAAAAAGAAAAGACAATTTTTTTTTCTGGTCAAATGACTATTTGAAGGGAAGTGGAATTTCCAAAAAAGTCATGTAGTACGACGATCATTTTTTATATTGTGCTTATTGTAAAATCTATTGAAAAATCATTTCATATCGGGTGGTTTTTTTTCTTTAGTTGATCCAATTCGATCAGTTTGTTTTTATAAGTAACTTAAGTACTATTCGTTACTAAGCTTATAACTATAAATTTGTATGTAAAAAAAAGGTATGTTACGAAACATTTTACTTTTATTTTTCTACATTACCAATTACAAACATTTGCTAATTCTCTTTCCATGGCTAAATCTATTAATACTTCTTCATTCACTTCATCTATTCCATCATTCTCTTCTTGTGTTTCTTCTTCTTCTTCCAACTCTCTATCCTTTTCAGTGAGTAAAATAGAACCTTTTTCCAATCTTTGTAAAAAGGATTTAACATTTGTTACAATACCTTTTTTATAATATTCTTCACAATATTTACAACAATATTCAAAGTATCTAAAGCATTCCCAATGATAACCATATCCACAAATTAATATTTCTCCATCATATATAGGATTATTTGTAATAAGTGGTTGGTTACATAGGTTACAATTATTAGGTGAAGGAGAATGTGTTGTGTTAAATCCAGTTGGCAAGCATTGGACATCAATAATAGTATCAAGAGCAATTAATTTATAAAGAGGATATCATTTCGGTACAGCAAGATAACTTTGACCTGTGTAGTAAATACTTTTTAAAAATGAAAAAGAAGAAATACTATAGTTTTTTTGGTAAGATAATCTAGAGTTGAAGGTGTATAGGGATATCTTTTTGTCTTGGAAAAGTTATCTTTAAGTATTTGTGTTTTATTGTTATCTAAAAAAAAAGTTAATAATTTAATCTTTTTTAATTTATTAGATATACTTTCTTACCTATAATATGATAATACTTTTTACACTATAATGTGTGTTTAGTATTCCGCAAAAAATCTAATCCAATCTGAATCTGATCCAGATCCAACAGATCGGATCCAATCGGATTTATCTGATTAGAATTAAATTCAGATCCAGATTTTGATTTGATTCGATCTGTCAGATTCAGATTGGATTCAGATTTGGATTTGATTCAATCTGACAGATTTGGATTTGAATTCAGATCCGATTTGTTGAATTTGAAATAAAAAATGCTGCCTCAAAGTCAGACACAGTATTAATTATTAAAAAAATTAATTTTTAATAATAAAATGCTGCCCGAAAGTTAAACGTGGCATTTATTATTAAAAAAATTAATGTTTAATAATAAAATGCTGCCCCAAAAATCGGACGTAGCATTTATTATTAAAAAATTCATTTTTAATAATTTTTAATATTAAAATGTCGCCCTGAAAGTCAGACACTGCATTTATTAATAAAAAATTAATTTTTATTTATTTTTATAACAAAATGCCATCCCGAAAGTCAGAGGCAGCATTTATTAATAAAATAATTAATAAAAATTATTTTTTTATATAAAAATGTTACCCTGAAAGTTAGACGCAGCATTTATTATTAAATAAATTAATGTTTAATAATAAAATTCTATCCTGAAAGTCGAATGCGGTATTTATTAATAAAAAAATTAATAAAAATTAATTTTTTATATAAATATGCTGTCCCGAAAGTCAGACGTAGCATTTATTAATAAAAAAATTAATTTTTATTAATTTTTTATATAAAAATGCCGTCCCGATAGTCAGATGCGGCATTTATTATTAAAAAAAATAATTTTTAATAATAAAATACCAATCCAAATGTCAGAGGCAGATTTTTGTTAAAAAAAACAAAATTGTTGTTTTTTTAACATTAAAATACTGTTCTAAATGTCAAAAGCAGATTTTTGTTAAAAAACAACAAAATTTTTGTTTTTAACATTAAAATACCATTGTTAAAAAATAACAAAATTGATGTTTTTTTAATATTAAAATGCCGTTCCGAACGTTGAAGGCAGATTTTTGTTAAAAAAACAACAAAATTGTTGTTTTTTTAACATTAAAATGCCGTTCTGAATATTGGAGGCGAATTTTGTTAAAAATACAACAAAATTGTTGCTTTTTAACATTAAAACGCTGTTCTAAATAGCAGAGGTGGACTTTTGTTAAAAAAATTTTTTGATTTGTCAGATACGGATACAGATTCAGATTTGTCAGATTTTGATCGAATCAGATTCAGATTTTTTGGATTCAGATCGAATCAGATTTTGCCCAAATCTGATCTAATCCAATCTGTGTAGAATACTATTTGTATTTGTATTTGCTCTGATTTTACTATGCAGATTTTCAACAAAATAATCATTAAAATTTATAAGTATAGTTTTAATGCTTTTGCCATTGGGTGTTTATTATCTTCCAGTAAAAATAATTAGATTAAAATATTAATGGTACTTTATTATAATTTTTTCTTCTCCAGCGTAATGCAAATATCTAAAGGCAAAAGATTGTTTCAATATATTTATCAAATAATCCAGAGTAAATAACAAAGTATAAATATCAAGTGTTGCAATGATAATATTATCCAGTAAGTCTAATAATGTTCTATATTCTATATCTTTACATGTATGCTTAAATTTTTGCATAATTATTTTTGATATATGTTTTTATGTATTACTTGTTAATTCTAATAGTAAATTTATTCTCCATGGTTAAGATTTTTTGAAAATACTTTTTTTATACAAAATACAAAATGAAAAAGATTTTGAAAGAAGTTATGATGTAATATAACTGCTTTTTTATGAAAATTCAAAGATACATGAAGTGGTCTAAGGATAGGAATAAAGCTATGTATATATGAAGGAATATTAGATTGATCTTCTTGTAATTGAAGATATGTAATTGCCATACATATAAAAGTTGTCTAAGCCAATCTGCAATAACTGATGTAACATTTAATAACAAATATTCTTTTAATAATAAAATATTAGCAATTGTCTGTATAGTTTTAAGATAATCTGCAAGTAAATGTAAATTCATATTTTAAAATGAAATCATTTGAATTCTTTTCATAGATCTCTCATCTTTTCTTTCTTGAATTGCTTCATTATATATATGAATGATAAGTTAATCAATATAGTTAAATTGGTTTGGATTTATTATTTTTTGTTTAATATAGTATAGCTTATATTAAAAATTCTACTATAATGTAATTCCAAATACCAAGAAATATTATCAGAATCAATATTTTTTGGATTATAATTTAATGTATTTTGGTAAATTATAGAAATAGATGTACAATTAATTATCTTCTAATTTAGAAAGATATGTTACGAAATGTTACTATTAGTGGTAATTGAAATAACAGGTTGATGTATAGATTGAATTGCATGATAAGCATCAACATTAAAAATATAAAGATTATTATTCTATATATTATTATAATACATAAAATAAGTAAACTTTTTAATTAGTTTTAATAAAATTTTATTAAATAAAATTAAATTATATTAAAAAATATTTAAAATTGAATTTGTTTTATTAAGATTTTTTTTTTTCAAAGTAACTTATATATTATTAATCTTGTTAGGGTGATTAATTAATATTTCCTGTCTAAACTTGTCAACGGTTTTAGCATATACACAAAGACCCATTAATGATAAAATCAATACCTTAACTTGAAGTTTCATATGCAGCTAAATAAAATCCAATTTCAAGTTTTAAATTACTAGCAAACTTATTACCTAATCCAACAGAAGATAGCAAAATTCAACAGTTGCTTTCTTTTCATTTTCGTGCGTTTTTTGCAATCTTGTTTTAGAATTTAATACATTTATAAATTCTTTAAAAAATCCTTATAGATTTGGTTTCTGTTCTTCAATTAAATCATAAAATTTATTTGGATTTAATTCTATGGAAAGTATTTATTTTCTTTACATATTATAAAAAACTTTTGTCAAAAATTAATTTTTCTTTAAAAGCTAGTAAACTATTATATTAGATATAAATTTAAATGAAATAAAAATTTTTAAAATAAAATTATTGATATTAACTTTGTTTATTTGATTATTATTCATTAAATCCAAGTTAATATTTGCATTTGTATTGGAAATTGATAAGTCTATTAAAGGTATACTTGTATTGCTTTAGTCTGGTTTGACAATACTATTATAATATATTTGACAAAGTTGGTCACCAACTTTTAAATAATTAAAATTACTAAATGTTCCTTTTCTTTATGCTTTTTCAAAAGCAAGTTTAGTAAATCCACGAAACTTTTTATTGCTTTTATCACAATGAAGTACTGAACAAGATCCGAAATTCTATAAATGAAGCATTTTTCTTTATTGTGTTAAAATAAAAGTTTAATTTTAGTTGTGATCAGCAACAAAATTTAACAAATTATAAAATATTTCACAAAATCCAAGATAATAAATTTCAGCCAATTATAAAAAACTCTATCATACTTATAAGCATTCCAAAAAATTTCGTAATCACATAACAAAATCTATTGATCTATTCCTAAAATGGTTATTACATATACTTTAAATGCCATTTTTTTAGCAAAACCAAACATTTAAAAAAAAATATATAAAAAGTCAAAAATAAACTGTAAGTATGTAAATTACAGATATGTATGATTTTAAAAAAATATATAAAATTTGTTTTCAAGTTTTATTCAAAAAAAAATCTTTTTTCATTTTTATTTTAGAAAAAATCAGTAAATCTATCAGGTAATTAATAAAAAAAAAGAAATCTACTTACTCAAATACTCTGAAGTGAAAAATAGCCTAAAGCCTATAGCGATAAATTGATCTAAAAAAAGAAAAAATTATTTAACAAATGAAAATACAATAAAAAAAATACAAAAATGGCTATTTTAATATTAAGTCATAAATAACACAGATTCTTCATAAACATAATAGTAAATTAAATATAGCTTTTATTATAAGCTTATTTACTTTTTTTATACTTTACCTAACTATCTGATTTAAATAAAGTAAATTTAAA